GACAGACACCACCTTAACTAAGTGATCAAAATTAACATCACCCGTTAAAGGCTGCGTTAGCATCTCCTGCCTCCTCGTACCATCCACTGAGAACAGAAACTCATTTTTTCACTTTAGCCAGTCCTTACCCCTTAGCCTTTTCTTGGCAGTCTTATCTCTGGATCAACCCAGTTTTCTGTAGAGGAGTGATGTGATCTGACTTACAAGTTAAAATGTCACTCTGGCATAATAGGAGAATGGCCTGGACAAGAGTGAATCTGGGATGCTGACCCAGATGACCCCCCAGGCTGCTGGGACTAACCCCTGCTCTGTGTCCAGCCTTCCTCTGTAGAGATGTATAATTTGTGAGCTAGTTCAAGAGACTTTCAAGTCCTTTAGATGCTCCTCTGAACCCCCAGGCTCCCCTGGTCATCATTTCCTTTCCCTGCTCCTCACTCTGGGTTCTTCCCAAGATCCTCTTCTCCCCCAGTCTCACTGGTTGCTCCCCAGTTCCCTTTGTTGATCTCCCCAGCCAGCCCTCCTGTTACCCCAGCTTTCATGGCACGGTAGCATCCCTGACTATGAGTTGAAGGTAGGGTCAGGGAATCAGGAGGATGGGCCGTAGCTGAGTCTGTTACCTCCCAATAGAGAGAAGCTACAGCTTGGCCTCTTCTCTTTCCTCCTCCAGACCTATCTCATTCTTGCCTGGGGTCCCTTTCTCCCTCCCGCCCCCACTCCTGCTGCCCTCTCATCAAGCACACTGCTATGTTCATTGTCAGACCTGTTCCCTCGGGAATGCCCAACACTAGGGGTACCTGCAAAACCCTTCTCCTTGTAACCCTCCCGCTCAGAGCCACTCTGCCCAGCCACCCACCTCTGAGAAAGCCCAGCTAGGCTTCGCCTTGGCCTCCCCGCCCTTTCCTGTAAATGCACTCACAGCCAGGAGGGGTGCCATATTAAATCAAGAATGATGGAAGCCAGTGGCCGCGATTATCCAACTGAGATGCAGCATGGGGAGCTGGTTGCTGCCGGCTCCAGGTGAGGACTTCTAAAGCTAATTGCACATGGCTTTTATTAGGAAGATGATCTCTCCCCCACTCCTGCTCTCCTGGGTGGCTTCTTCCTACTTCCTGTCAGCCCAGTGCCCTCTGCTATTGTAGGCCGTGTTACCTGCTCTCTCTTCTCTAGTGGAACCCAGTCAGAGCAGTGCCTTGATCTCAGTCCCTGTAGCCTTAACCTCCTTCTCCTCAAAGGCCAACCCCTTCCAAATGCCTCCTCTTTGCCCTTAAATAAAATACATATACAGACCTTTCCTAGATGGCTTTGCTTAAGCCTGGGATCCTATTTCATACAGCTAAATATCATTCATTCATTCATTCAGCACATTTTTAAAATACCAACTGTATTCTAAGCATTGGGAAAGGAGTATGAGGCTGTAACTTTGTACCTAATTAAATCCCAATGCCCTATACATTTTTATCAAAAAGTTTTCAGTGTATTTATGAACAGGTAGTTAGGACTCTAGGCTGTGCTCAGACTTAGGCCATAGTGGGAATTTTTCCCAGTACCAACTAGAAAGCTTGAGACCCAGCAGATCATGGAAGAATGATGGAAGGATGAAAGATGGAATGTGCTGGGCGCTCACTCATATGGAAGGGTCAAAGACCCTTCCCCCTTGTCCAAGAAAATATGAGGAATACTAGGACAACCTAAAATCATGCCACGGAAAAAGAGGTACAGGGGGCCTCCCCAGTGGCGCAGCGGTTGAGCGCTGGGTTGTGAAGCTGCCCGCAGCCTCTGCAGCGCCAGTTCGATCCCCGGCTGCTCCCCGGCCACCGGAGGAGGGTCCCACATGGCGCGCAGACCTCTCCTGCCGCCCGCTGCTCCCCTCAGCAGTGTACTTCGGTCCTTCAGCCTGCTCTGCTCCCCGCTCTGGCTCTGGTGAATTCTCTCACCCTCCGCCCTTCTGACTGTACCCAGTGCGTGTATAAATAAATAAATAAATAAATAAATCCTTTAAAAAAAAAAAAGAAGAAGAAGAGGTACAGAAATGTTTGCCTGGAGAAGACTTAGGGAAGCCATGATGGTCATACTCAAACCAACAAAGTGGTGAGAAAATTCATATTAGATTTGCCTGTGGCAAAGGAGAAGGCTATGTTCTGTGGCTGGAAAGTACCTGAAGGCAGAATTCTCTACCGCGACAGCAAAATCAATGGGCCAAGATGAGCACCAGGCAGCTGAGGCTTCCCCAAAACTGATGTTGAGATGGTGCCTTCCCAACTAGGGCTCCTAGAGAAAGGAACCTCAAGAGTAGAGGGGCACCCCACTAGTCTTGGCACCTGGCTTCCTCTTGAGCCACAGCAACTCTTCCCTTTACCTTTGGAGTGCCGTGTAGATTAAATTAGTTAAATGTTCCTGCGCCAGAAATAGACCATCAGTTCTCAAGATGCAGCAAAGAAGAAGGGAGGTTAACGTTTACCAAAGGCCTCCAGAAGGCCAGCTACTGTGCTGTCCACTGTGTGCCAGAGACCCCAAAATGCTTGCATTATTTCACGTAATTGTCCCCCATACCCCACAGGGATCCTGCAAGGTAGGTATGAGAACTAGCCCATATTAGAGATGGCGAAACTAAAATTCAGGGAGGTGAATTGACTTCCCCAAGGTCAGCTAACTACTAAGTAGATGAGGTGAGGTTGGAATTCAGGTCTGTCTGGAGTGAAGCTCATTCACTCTGCCACACAGAGCCTGTCCCACTATGAGCCAAGGGGCTAGGTGGGCAGGGAGGAGGAAGAGGAAGCAGATATATGGCGGGAGTCATCAGAGCTGGGTGATTTATGTGGCGCCCGAGGGAGCTGCACAGTGACTGACACTCAGGATTTGAGCCAGCAACTGTCCTCCACTGGGATCAGCACCAAATTATTGCTCCAAATAATGTAGCAATTAAAGGAGACACTACATACTAAGTGCTGAGTACAGTGCCTGGCAGGTAGCAGCTAGTCCTCAAATGGTAATCACCTCATTCAGTTGTCAGCATGTACTGACTCTCTGTGTGAGGGCTGCAGCTAAAAAGATAAATAAAACATGATGTTTACCTCTGAGGACCTCATGGTTGAGCATAGAGAGACAAGCAGGCAGTTAAACAAGTGCCCTGGAGTTCCCAGGGGCAGGCACCAAGTCTTACAGCAGTCTCCCTGGACAACATGCTATTGAAGCTGGGATCAACAGGCCACTCAGAAACAGGCAGGAATAGAGAAGACTTGAGGGAACAATGTAAGCAAAGGCCCAGAGGCAAGATACTCGGACCCATCACTGAGGAGGAGGGAGGAGCCAGACCCAGCAAATCCTTGATGGCCAGTCTCACCACTTCAAACCTCTGTAGCCTTCCTTCACACAAGCTGGTGCTGTGCCAGCCGGCGCGTGTGCATCTCACCATCAGAGCCTTCCAGCCCATGGACCCCGAGTGCTGATGGGCTGGGTAGGCAGGGAAGAGGAGGAGGAAGCAGATATATGGCAGGAGTCGTCAGAGCTAGGTGATGTATGTGGCGCCTGAGGGAGCTGCACAGTGACACTCTGGATTCCAACCGGCAAGTGTCGCTCCACTGGGATCGGCACCGAATTATTGCTCCATATGAAACCCCAGGACTGATGGGAGCTTTCAGTTACAGACTGATAGCAACAGCCAAAATTGGATTGTTTGCTATTTATTTTTTTTAACTTCTGTCAAGGTCACTACCGTAACAGGAAAACACTGCCCAAGCAGCAGGTATTTTTCATCCACTCTGCCCACAAGAGCAATCTGCAGCCACAACTTTTGTGACAAGGCCTTAGCTTGGCAACTCTCTATCTAGAAAGCTGTCAGTGTTATCAGGGTCTTAGGGGAAGAGGCTTCTGAACAGTCAGTTCTTTCCATCCCAATCCAAGACCTGCTTTCTTCTCTCCATCCCCAGCCTCCAGAAATGCCTCCTCATCAGACCTGCACACCCTCCCTGCCTGTCTGGTCTCCGCATAGTCCCACAGCCACCACCCAGCCTGATACTCTAGCTTCTTCAAGCCCCCTGTCTCCCAGAAAGCCCCCACCACCAAAAAAAAGCACCATGCTTTATGTCCCTTCCCTGCGCCCAGTCTGCTCATTCTCTCCTCTTCCTGTCTGTCATCAAATTTATTTTTGCAAACATTCAGATGTCTCCACTGTGCTGGGGATAGCCATGAGTAAAAGACAATACCAGCACTCAGAAATGACTTTGACGACAGAATCATAACAGGCAACAAACCTGTTTTCAGGTAGGCTTTTTTTAGCAATAGGTACAGTACTGGAAATAGGCCTGTGTGCTTCAAAACCATGAGGAAAAGTTCAGTTGTTCCTGAAAAGTATTTGTGGACAGGCCCTGCCTCACTTCCTCTGCCAAACCGATCTCCCTAGGGGCAAGGCCTGGCTCTCCTCTTTCCCCGGCCTGCACAGGGCCCAGCACAGACGGCTGTTGCTGGATAAATGTAGCTAACTGAAATGCGGTGCTGTTGAGGCAGAGGGTATTCATAACTGGTTTCAAAACCAAAACGGTTTCCAAGAGGCTAAGAGGAAAGGAAAAGGAACCTATATTTCTTAAGTACTCATCATATGCCACTCAGGATCATACTGAATCCCCAATTTACAGCTGAGAAAACTGAGACACAGGCACTTATTCCAGGAGATAAGCATATTGGTGTAAGTGATAAAGCTGGGATTCCAACCCAAGTCTTCTGTCACACTCCAGAGACAAGAGTTAATCTACTGGCAGTATTTGTTTTACTAGTAGGGTGAGCCAGACCCCTGAACAGTGGCCACTTGATGTAAGGAGATGGGGTGAGGGTCAGGATGAGGGAGCAGAGGGAAGGGTGGGCTATCTCTAGTGATTATGAGCCAGTGCTGTGTATCAGGACCCCCAGAGACCCAGACCTGTGTTTTTCCCCTGGATTGGGGATAGAATGAAACTAGGATCCTACCTGGCCAGTGCTCCTAAACCACCTTCCCTCTCCCCCCACAGTACCAGGAGAAGCAACGGAAACGAGAGGCTGAGGAGCGGCGCCGCTTTCCCCTGGAGCAGCGGCTGAGGGAGCACATCATTGGGCAGGAGAACGCCATCGCCACGGTGGGTGCGGGTGAGTATGAGAGCCGCCAGCCAGCCGGTGCCCTGGTCTGCTCTAGTGAGGTGTGCATCCTGCTGCTACCCTTCTGTGCAAAGGTAGCTGATAATATTACAACGTAACCTTTATTGAGTACTTTCAACATGCCAGACACTGTTAACAGGTTCTCTGCACATGCCATGTCATTTAATCCCTACAGCACCCCATGAGGTTGGTACCATTAAAGCCCCCGATTTATCAGTGAGACAGAGCACTTCAGTCATTTGCTCAAGGCTGCTTCCCTAGCCTAGAATTTAACTCTGACCTTCCTGTGGTCCGCACCCCCAACCCCACTTTCCAGGTGGAAAACTGAGACCCAAGAGGGGAGCAGCTGAGCCAGAACTTGAACTTCTGTCTTGTATCTCAGCCTGGGTCACTACCACGCTTCAGTCCAGTTTGCCAGCACCTGGGTCAGTTTTCTCATCCGGAATGAGAGCTTTGTCCCCCTAAAGCCCTATGTCTGTGTGTAGGGTAAATGAAGTTAACTCAGGCTTTTTTCTGCCCTCCTGCCACTAGTGTGGGTGCTCAGGGCCAAGAGACATGAGCGCGGGGCACGCTTGCCTTTAATTGTGGACACCTGGGCCGAGGCATGGGGAGTATGCATGTGTAGATGCTCACACTTGTGCCTAGAGGCGAGGGATAAAGGCAATGGTGGCAGCATGCCAAGGAGGACCACTTAAAGGCATGGCCACGGGACAACCCAAGACAACCATGAGAATACCAGAGCGCGCCCAGGGAAAGATCCCAGAGATTGGCTGGGGGCTGGGAGGTTCCCAGTCCCCTGCTGGCCCCTGTCAGGAATGCTTGCAAAACACCGTGCTTTTTTTTTTTTATATTAAATTTTTTTTATTTTTTACATCATTGTTCATTTTTAAACAATATTTGCTTCCCCCCACCCCCTCAGGTGTAGTCCCCATAGAGTTTCCTTCACCAGTGCACCTGTACACCATCACCGCAGTCCCCTGTGCTCCTCCCTCCCTCCCTCTGATCCCTCTCCCTCCTCCTCCCCTGCAGGATATCTCTGATTTCTAATTGTCTGTTTTTGCTTTGTTGTGTTTTGTGCTGTTGTTTTTTTACACAGATGTCTTATTTGGTTCCCCTATATTCCTGCTATAAGTGAAACCATCCGATATTTTTCTTTTTCCTTCTGGCTTATTTCACTGAGCATAATTCCTTCTAGTTCCATCCACGTTGCTGTGAATGACATGAATTTATCTTTTTTGATTGCTGAATAATATTCCATTGTATATATATACCACATCTTCTTGATCCATTCATCTATTTTTGGGCATTTGGATTGTTTCCAGGTTTTGCCTATTGTAAATAGTGCTACAATAAACATAGGGGTACAGGTGTTCTTTTGAATCAATGTTTCTGTGTCCTTTGGGTAGATCCATAGGAGTGGAATTGCCGGGTTGTATGGTAGCTCCATTTTTAGTAGACTGAGGAACCTCCACACAGCTTTCCATAGTGAATGGACCAGTCTGCACTCCCACCAGCAATGCAGGAGAGTTCCTTTTTCACCACATCCTCGCCAACATTTGTTGTTGCTTGTTTTTTTGATATGTGCCATTCTCACTGGTGTAAGGTGGTATCTTAATGTGGTTTTAATTTGCATTTCCCTGATTATCACGGATATTGAACATTTTTTCATATTTCTGTTGGCCATTTGCATTTCCTCTTTGGAGAAATGTCTTTTAAGTTCTTCTGCCCATTTCTTGACTGGATTGATTATTTTGTTTTTGTTGAGTCCTGTGAGTTATTTGTGTATCTTTGTGATCAGTCCCTTATCAGTTGACTGGAGTGCAAAGATTTTTTTCCCAATCAGTGGGGTGTCTCTCTGTTTTGGTTAATGTCTCTTTTGCTGTGCAGGAGCTTTTCAGTTTGATGTAATCCCAGGTGCAAAACACTGCTTTTGACCCCTGGGAGCCATACTTCCTCCTCAGCCCTGACCTACTGCCCATGCACACCCCACTAGAAAGAGATAAAACTGGGGTTCTGCTTAAGACAGTGGCCTCATCTTTATTCTGACTCAGGTATATGACTCTGAAAAGGATCTCAGACAGATGAGTCAAGGCAGAGGAACCTTAGGCCCAGCTTAGATAAGGGGTTTCCCCAAGGCAGTGGTTCTCAAAGCATGGTTTCAGGACCAGCAACATCTCTGTGCTCCAGAAACTTTTATTTATTTTTAAAGATTTATTTATTTATGCATATAAGAACTGGGGTACAGGTCAGAGATGCAGGGAGTGAGAGGATTCACTAGAGACAGAGTGAGGAACAGAACAGGCAGACTGACTGAAATACACTGCTGAGGGGAGCAGCGGGTGAGTCAGGAGAGGTCTACTGCGCCATGTGGGTTGCTCCCTGGCCAGCCGGGGATTGAACTCGTGCTGCAGAGGCTGTGGAGAGCTTCACAGTGCTGTGCTTAACCCCAAGTGCGCCTCCAGAAACTTTTAGATGCACCTGGCCCCAGCCCAGAGCTATGGAATCAGTAACTCAGGGCCCTGCGATCTGTTTTCACAGGCCCTGCAGGCCATTCTGATGCTCAGCTCAAGTTTTGTTTTTGTGTGACTTTTTTATTTTCTTATATTGTTAAATTTTTGTGCAGTATTTGATTTCTCCCCTCAGGTGTAGTCTCCATTCAGCTCAACTTTAAAACCCTCTGTCCTGCAGTGTGTCTGCTCACAGGTTACTTACCTCTTCAAGCATCTAGCTCCACCAAATTCAGTCAGTGACTGCCAAGGCATCACCAGGTTCTGTTCCCTGATAAAAGGAGGCATCAGACTGAAGCTGTGATGCCCCTTTGGAACATTTTGGGGTAGCACTGTCTGCTGTTAGATACCAATTAGAAGAGTAATTGAAAATAGAAGGCAGCTGCTCCTGTGACGCACTGGACCCAGCCTGATCTCCATCATCCTCACACACCATTGGGACTCACATGGCAGTTGTGAGCCCCTCATCAGGAGCCTGACCCCATCAACAGATAAAGGAGCCATAGACCAGTGCTGCTTCAATAGCTAGAGGTCAGAGGCTGCCTGCAGGCACACACAGGAGCCAGGGACAACTTTCTCTGAATGTGCAAGACCCCCCTACTCAGGCCCAACCTACCAGGCTGCTGCTTGGGGTCTGGATGCAGACATCCACCCTCTGCCACCACCTTGGCAGCAGGCCCCTCACCTTATTTGTGGAGGGAGGAGAGACTGGGAGCCTTCAGTAGTTGAAGAAAGAAGCAGTCTATGGGAGATACATTACCTGAGCAGACATCTAAGAAAGTATCTCTGGCTGGAGCCTCATGTCCACATGGCCAGAACTGCAGCTGCCAGTGTAATTTTCCCTCCACTTTTTTTTTTTTTTTAAGATTTTTTTTTTTTTAATAGAGGCATGTTTTATTTATTTATTTGTTTGTTTGTTTGTTTTGTTTATACATGCACTGGGTACAGTCAGAAGCGCGGGAGGGTGAGAGGATTCACCAGAGCCAGAGCGGGGAGCAGAGCAGTCAGAAGGACCGAAGTACACTGCTGAGGGGAGCAGCGGGCGGCAGGAGAGGTCTGCGCGCCATGCGGGACCCTCCTCCGGTGACCGGGGAGCAGCCGGGGATTGAACGCGCTGCAGAGGCTGCGGGCAGCTTCACAACCCAGCACTCAACCGCTGCGCCACCGGGGAGGCCCTCCCTCCACTTTTTACACAGCCCTTTCCTAGCAGCTGCCTGCTTCTCTTTCATCTATTTCTCCCCATCTTCTCAGGGCGCTGGGTTGTGAAGCTTCCAAAAGTAGAAGGTTGGGGGGAGTGGGATGAAGAAGAAGTCATGGAGATGGAAAGAATTGAACCAACATGGACTCAAATAATAGGTCGGCCATTTAGCAGTTGTATAGCTCAGGCTAGTTCACTTTTTCAAGCATCAGTTTCCTCAGCTGTATCCTGGGGAGGCCCAGTCCAGCACTGGCTGGCTTTTTCTATTACAGTATGTGCCTGACAGCAGTGAAACAGTTCCTGTTGTCAAGCCGTTTACCATCTAGGGCTTGGCACTGTACTCTTTAGGACAGTTAGCTCTGTTAGGTCAGTAATATCCCACTTGTTTTCTTTACGACTGGACTGATCCTTAATACCAGCCCCAGACTTGCCTCTTCCCCTGTTCCCATACTGACCTCTAATGCATCACCCACTTTTTCTTGTCTTCTTGCCCACAATGTTAGCCTCTACTCTGAATCTTTCCTTCTATCCAGAGCTCCATTCTGTCACAAGAACTCTGCCTACTTGGTTTGTAGGTTGACTCAGCTTAGCTCAGTGACCCCAGAAAAGACAGAGAGGCTACTGGGGCCTGGGCTTTGGGGTTGGTGCTTTATTTCTTCTACACTTGTAAGACAATAACTGCACCCGCCTTGCTGTGAAGCTCTGCTGTGGGGATCACAATGGTAATGGTCAGATAACTTTCAGCTCATAGCCCAGGGACATCCAGGGTATTCTCTGGGTCAGAATTTGTAGTAGGCAAGCAGCCAGTACCGCAGGACCTCACGGGCCTGCAGGTGCAGAAGCGAGGTGGATCAAGAGGCTAGGCCAGGACTCTCTAGGTTCTCTAGGCCACTCTCTGATAATGTGTGGTAAGAACTGGCTGGGTGGAGCCTGGCACCCCATGGGTGCCATGAGGATGGGCAGTCAGCGAAGTGCCGCAGAATGAATTGATTTGATAAATGGCCATTTATTACCCTCACGAATTGGCTGAAACCAATTTCGGTCACATCAACCCCTGGTAAGTGCTGGGATATTGATTTGTGCAAAGTAATACAGTGAATTTATCAGTGTGATCCCCAGCTGCAGGGCTTCTAGCAAGGCTGGCGCACAGTTACCACCTTACAAATGGAGGAGATAAAGCACCAGCCCCACAGCCCAGGCCCCCATGGCCTCTCTGGTCTTCTAGGGTCACTGGAGCCAAAACAGGGCCAATCTACATTCCACAAGCCAGAGCCTTGGCATTGAAGGTGGGACTCTTCTTCCAGAATTCAGACTGCTCTTGGTAGTGAGGAAGGGGGTGGACATCTACCCTGTCAGGCAGACCTCCTAGAAACTTAGCTCCTTTGTGCCCCAATGTGTTCCTCAGAAAGGCAACCAGCTGTCCATTCAGCAAATGCAGAGTTCGACTCTGCCCCACTCCAACCTGCCCACTCCCTGCGTACCTGTCTCAGTAAAGGCAATTCCATTCAATGGCTTCTCAGAAGAAATGCAGAGGATTCCTTGACCCCACCCTTGTTGTCACCCCTTACAGCCAATCAGGTATCAAGCTCTGTCATTCTACTTCTTAAATGGGTCATAAAACCTGATCTCTGCCTTCCATTGCTGATCCCTGCTCCCAGCTCAGGACCTGACTGTCTCTCATCTGAACCACTCAGTAGTGTCCTCACTGGTCTTTCTGCCTTGTTTCCTTCCCTATAAACACGTCTCCCCATCTGGAGTGAGCTTTGTAAAATGCAAAAGCTCTCCTGTTTAAAATCCTTGAGTGGTCCTTGCTCTAGCCTACAAGGCCCACTGCCTGCTGCTGCCCCCTGCTTTGCACTGCACCCACCAGTGACACCACAGCCCCACTGCAGTTTCTGCTCACTGCATATGCTGTGTTGACCACCTGCCTGCATTTATTTATGTTGCCTTCTCTGGAATTCCTTTACTTCTAGTCCTTTCCCCAACCCAGGCCTGCCCGTCTTGTACCCTCCAGTTGCTTTTAACTTAGCCTAACTCAGTTCAGAAGCAAAAGACAGTAGACCCCTGCGGACAGAGACCAGAATCATTTTTATTTTCCCACTTCCTGGCACAGCACTCTGCTCCAAGTAGATGATTAGTGTGATTTGTTGAATTATTTGGTGTGGTCCCTGTCTGTCTCTGTGATGTGCTCTGAGGAAAGAAGAGAAGCTGTTAAGCCTGTTTTTTAGTAGCTCACACATACTAACAATGCAACTATAACAGAATAGTTCATTACGATACCCCATACCATTTGACCTTTGACCTCTGAGTGGACAGGGCATTCTCCATATCTAATCCAAGAAGCTTCCTCTGGGCAGCAGATCACCCTGCACACCTGGAAGCTCCCTACCACTCCCTGTGGTCAGGGGCCTGTCCCCGACATCCATTATGCCCAGTCCCAGTTGACTCTGAAACACATCTGCCTCTGCTTTCTCAACTGTTCATCCTATCTGGGGTCTGGTCCGAGTTCAAGATTTCAACATCAGCCATGCGGCACACCTTGGGCTCACCATCCTGTCTGATGTTTCCTTTCCCTCTCTGGCTGGTCCAAAATATAATCTGCCCAACCCCTACACCTTTTTCAACCTTCCCTTCTGGAGTGGTAGTGATTAAAAAGTGTTCTGCCACCAAGCCTCACCTGTGCCCGTGTTGTGCTCTGTGGATCCCACCCTCCCCTTTTGCTTCACTTCTCCAAAGGTCAGAAACTACCTTTCATTCATTTCTGTTCCTGCAGGGTTGCCCACACAGGTGTGTGTAAGGCAGCTGAATTCAAGTGAGAAAGTGTGAGCCCATGTCAACATTCTGCCTCTCTTTTCCACAGATCCTCATTTCAGCCTCTTTCTGGAAGGTGTCATTCTTCCCATTGGTGATCCCCACCTTCAATGTGCACACACATGTGCATGTGCACACTTGTACACACAGTTGGGGGGGGCTGCTGAAAGCTCAGCAGAAACTTTTCTTTGCATTTTTAATACCAGCCATTCAGTAGCAGTAGTTTGCCTTTATAAAGATGAGTCCTCCCAATTCTAGGAAGAGAACTATTCTCTTACATCCTCTAAACCCGAGGCATGAATGTCCCATCCTACCCTGACTGCATGGTGATTCCCCCTCATGTTTTGGGCACAAACATCAGTCAGGTACAAATGGTTCCTTCCACACTTCTCCCAGTGCTGCCATCCCGTTTGGAACCCACAGTGTTCATAGCAACATTTACCTAAAAGACACAACTTTGTTTTAGGCTTCTTTGGGGTGCCCTAGCACCCAACACAGAGCTTGTCTGCTGGACAAATTGGTAACGCCCCATGAAGAGGGATTAAGAAGAAAGTGGTAGCCAGATTCACCAAGGGCGTTAATAACCACTTGCAGCCATAAGAGACTCTTGGGTCTGGCCTCACACTTTTTTGTAAAATGGGAGCTGAAATAGCTATTCTTTCCCATTTGTAATCTCCAGAAAGACCAAGAATTAATTCATTAAACCAGCAGGCATTAAACTAGTGATGGACTCTTCTCAAGAGCCCCTCAGGCAGTAGATCACCTGGCATCTGCTCCCACGGAATACGCAGATCTGGACGCGCCTTCCCCCATTGAGGGCACAGGCGATGAAACCCTTCCACTGCCCTCTTCTGAGTCTCGGTCTCCTCTGTGAAGTGAAAATAATACCTATTTCTCCGAATTATTATAAAAATTAAAGAGATACCTGTAAAGCTACTACTGCTGTAATTACCATTTTTTTAATTTATTCTACTCTTTGCAACTTAAATAGTGCTTCATAATCATCTATTCATTTTATCTTCATGGGGCTGACTCAGCACGTGTGACTGCACCTTTTATAAGTGAAGAAACAGATTTTATTTATTTATTTATTTATTTTGGTCATAAGAAATAGTACAGTGTTTTTTTTTTTTTTTTATGTTACTGCATCCCTAACACTTAGAACACCACTTAGTACATGTAGGTGCTCATTAACTTTATTTTATTTTATTTTTATATTCCCCATACAATTGCAACCCCTTATTTTGACCCCAATCCCTCCTTTCCCGGCCCCCCACCCCCCTAGAGTGTCTCTGGTTCTTAGTTGTTTGTTAGTTGATTTTGATTTTTTCTTTCTTATAGTTATTCTTTTTCCTGGTCCCTTATTTAGGTTTTCTAGATTCCTGCTATGAGTGAGACCATGCGGTATTTTTCTTTTTCTTTCTGGCTTATTTCGCTGAGCATGATCCCTTCCAGCGCCATCCATATTGCTGCAAATTGCATGTGTTTATCTTTTTTGAATGCTGAGTATTATTCCACGGTGTATATGTACCACATCTTCTTGATCCAGTCATCTATTTTTGGGCATTTGGGTTGAAGAAACCTTTTAAAGAGATTTTAAAGGAGAGTTTTACTCAAAGTCAGCCAACTAGTAAGTGTCAGTGCCTGTACTCCAAACTAGCTCTTGTACTCCTGCCCTCTCTGCCCTACCACCCTGGAGATGAGCACATCCCGGCGAGTCCCCCAGGAATTAATGCTGTAGATGTAGTGGAATGGAGTTAATTGACACGGCAGCCGCAATTGAGCCGAGCCAAGTGAGCTGAGCCATGGCAGATGTGGCCAGGAGAATGTTTTAATAAGGGGAAGAACACAGCCAGGAGGCCTTGGTCCTGGCCCAGCCTGTGGAGAAGCAGCAGAACCTATTAGAGCCTGCAGGTGGGCTCTGCAGGTGGGACCAGCCTGGAAAGAAGCTGAGCTTCCCGCTCAGGTGACATTGACACTGTCTTGAACCCCAAGTGCAATAGTGAGATGTCAGGAGACTGATTCCTGAGGCCACATGCAGAATAGCTGTGTGAGCCCATCTGAGAGACACACGGAGACAGTTTGCCAGGAGCTGTGCAGAAAGTGCCAACTCCTCTGCTAAAGCACCAGTTCAACTTCAAGAATGAGCCAGAGCTGGGGCTAAAGCCCAGGGTCTTCATTTATTTAGCTGTAACCTTGAGAGGTCACTTAACTCCTTTGTAACTATTTTCTCATCTATAAAATGGGAATCAGGTTCCCTGCCTTGCCTGCCTGGTAGGTTCATAACAAGGCTCAAATGCAGTTATGTGTCCAGAAGTTCTTTATAGACTGTGAAGTGCTGCCAAAGTAAATTGCTGCATTTTCTAATCCACGATGAGAGCACTGGCACCTGCGGCCACATCTCAAGTGGGCCCATGCAGGTCTCTGACTAGCCCAGCCTCTACACTGGCTGACAGGACCCTCAAGGCTCCCAGCTTTGGTCCTCAGCCACCCTGCCCACCAAACGCTCCAGGAGCCTGCCTTCCCAGTCCTTTCTAGCTGCCTCCATTTTTCATTCTGTCGGACTCCATCTGCTTGGCCGTTTTTCTCTTCAGATATTATTAGAAATATCCAGAGTTGTAATTGCTTAATGGTTGGCATTTCGCCTATTTCACGGGGGGCCCAGATCAAGCCCACCCCAGATTCATGCCCTGGGTCTGGCAGAATTGACCAGGGACAGCTGTGCAGTGGAGTCTGCCTGGCATTATAAAGAGCTCTCTCCAAGGTGCATTATTAGAAAAGAAGGGGGGAAGATGCCCCCAGGCATAATCCAATTCCACATTCTCCTTGGTGTTTCTGAGCCACATAGCCCAGCAGTCCGCAGCTCTCGGTGGACTGGGAAGCTTCCCTGAAAGAGAGGTTAGAATCGGAACCTCAGGTACTTGACATTCTGGGGAACCCCATTCCCCGCTGGGGCCATCTGTATGAGTGTGGCCTCAACATATCTGTTTCCCCTAATAGCTCATGAAGCCTGAACCCAGCTCATGCTCAGCTCCCTTCCAACCTACATTTTCAGTTCAGCCAACTTTTGGAAGAAGGTGACTCCTTTCAGATGACCTCTCTCTCTCACTTCCTCCCAACCTATATCCACATGGTGTTCGAGGAAGTCTAGCCTTTGCCAGTTATACCTCCGCCTCCCCCAATATCCCTGCCCCCAGGTTCTTCTTTCTGTCAGGATACTGCGGTCTCACTCTCGGTCAGGCTTGAGGTTCCTGTGAGGCCTGTGGGTCCCCTTGGAGTCAAGCCTTCCAGAGCACCAAGCCAGTCAGTTTAGAGATCTGGGGCCTTGCCCAGGGGAGAGATTGGACTGAGTGTCTCCTCGGGCCTCCGTCAGAATTCTCATGGAACATCTTCTGTTTAGGCAATGTCTAATCTGATGTCCATGAGGTTGCACAATTTCCATCTGTTTCTGTCATGGCCAGAGCTGGAGAGAAAGCACTTTAGGTCAAAGCAGTAGATTGAGATGAGAAAGACCATGGCAAAGACTTGAGCTCCTAAGACAGGTAGCCAAGATGTTTGCCATCTAACAGACCAACCTTGATACTGCAGGGCACTCTGTCCCCTCCCTGCTTCTCACTGTCATGTTTCATTAATGCAGCCCAAAGTGATACTCACTTTTTTCAGCAACCATATATGACCCCCCAAAAAAGAAGATAGCTTTAGGGCCTCCCCTGGTGGCGTAGGCAGTTGAGTGCCACGCTGTGAAACTGTCCGCAGCCTCTGCAGCACCGATTCGATCCTGGCCGGCTGGCGAGGGTCCCACATGGCACGGCAGACCTCTCCTGTCGCACCCACTGCTCCCCTCAGCAGTGTATTTCATCAGTCTGCCTATTCTGTTCCCTGCTCTGTGTCTGGTGAATCCTCTCACCCTCCTGTGCATCTGGCCTGTACCCTGATTCTTACATAAATAAATAAATAAATCTTTTTTTTAAAAAAAAAGGAAGGTAGCTTTAGAGAGAGAAGCAACTCTACCATTAATCATTGTGTGACTGAGGCAAGTCTCAATCTTTTGCCTCAGTTTCCTATTCAGTATATTGGAGCCAAAAATACTACTTTCCTCTCAGTGAGTTTGTGTGGGTCTTGAGTGGTAAAATGCCGGCAGTTTTTCCAATGATACCTAGCAGATAGCAGGTTTAATAAATGGTTCTTCTGGTGGCTCTGCTCTTTTCCACCCTGCTCTTCCACTTGAGCGCTGCTTCTGAGCCTGCTTCTCCCACTTTGTAACTGGGCACTCGGTTTCCTCACCTTGAGTGCACAGCCCATGATTATATACTTCCTCCTGAAGAGGAGGGGTCAGGTCTCATTCTGGCAAAATTGGGCCCCCAGAGAATCTAGTACATATCTGTCTCATTCTCCCCATTGTCAATAGAGATGCTAACCAAGTGGCTTACCCTCCTGGGCGCTGAGCACCATACACCCTTGAGTAGCTTCCAGAAGGTACATTTGGCTGCATTTCCAGACAGTGGACTAGACCTTGGTTTCCCCAAATGGGAACAAGTCCAGAGCTCACACTCTAGATCCCCCAGTCCTGCCAGGGGGTCCTGCCTCTCCCATTTGCACAGGAGTAGACTCAGTGTACCACCATTGGTGAGTAGATTGGTAACCAGCCAAGAGCTAAAGTTCCTCTTGAATTCTCCTTCTCCAGCCCCCCACCCCCTTCACCTCCATTCACCATCCACCCGCCTTTCAGTTTCCCTGGCAACGCTGAGTGCTCATCCTGGAAAACTTTATCCGAAATCTGCTCTGGGCAGCTTTCCAAATCCATGCTAACCTGATTAGGTGTCTCTAGGGGCCTTGCCAGCTAATCAGATTAGGCAGCACTAATGGTAGTGAGGACTTTGAGTGGGCGCAGAGCAGTAAAACATATTGTATACTTAGTGATAATTATCCTGCCTTTTGTGTCATTGATTTATCTGCCTCCCTCCCCGTCCCCCCATCTCGTGTGTTTGGCCATAGCGATCCGAAGGAAGGAGAATGGCTGGTATGACGAAGAACACCCTCTGGTCTTCCTCTTCTTGGGATCATCTGGAATAGGTAACTGGGAGCAGAATCACCAGTGGGGAGGAGAGCTGGGGAAGCACACAGGCCAGACAGTCCCAGTTGAACCACCTCTAGTTCAACTACAAAACCATGACCTTCAAATTACAGAGCCAGCAAGGGGACTTTGTGTTTATGATCATGTCTCCTTAGGGACAGCTGGAATTATGCCCCTCCCTCTGGAAGCTATGTACAGCACCTAATTCTCCTGGAGAATTAGGAGCAGTCCCTTGGGATCTCCTCGCCCTGATACAGTCAGTCTGCAGACCCAGAGGCAGCCTTTTGGGTTGTACCACTTCCATTGCCAGCGCACTAACCTTATGCAGGACAGCCTGGGACACAACGCTTTAATGAGCTAAAGAAGGCCCCTGGTGGCCAGCACAGTGCTAGGTACATAGCTAACCTGGCTGCAGTAAAATGGGTGGATTATTTCTCAGGCCATTTGGGCTGGATTATATGAAGCATTCTCACCCCTCACTCTCTACCGTGACCTCAGGCACCTACCACCGTCACCATTCCCACCACCTCCCACCATTGTCTGGATAGGGAGCTTTGTGGGTTTGTTGCCTTACTTCCCCACTCTCCCTCAGATGGAGGGTCCCAAAAGTTTCCCTCACCATGGTGCTATGATGCTATGGTACTGTAGAACTTGACTTCCTGTGGTGCACAGTGACCTCCGGAGGCTTCATCATCATACCTAATGGTACTTCAGAGCCTCCTCTTCTGGTATTGTCATTCCTTCTTTATGTTACAAACTGTGAAACCAAGGAGAGGTGCCTGTTATTCTCTCCCACCCTCTTCTTGGCATATGGCTAGCAAGACCAGGAGTGTCTAGAGAGCTGCAGTGTATGGAGCCAGAAGGTCAGGGCACTCCTAAGAGAGGCAAGGTTTGTGCTGGGCTTGAAAGTACAAGAGGGCTCTGGATTATAAGACAACTTCCCATTTTTAGAATGTGGCTATAGTGAAGCCTCAGTCCCATCCACAGAAAAATCAAGTTGCAATGTAGACTTTCATGTTGGTCCCAGTTTCACCATTAATTCCCTCATTGAATTTGGGAGACTCACCAATCCTCAAAATTCCCATTTGTCAAATGTGTTATTTCCATTCATTTCTAATTTTTTTCACTCCAGGTGTTAGTGATCTCTCCGGTCCTAATCCAATGTTTCTCCCTTCCTTCTTACTAGGAAAAACAGAGCTAGCCAAACAGACAGCCAAATATATGCACAAAGATGCCAAAAAGGTAAGGACTAGGCCTGATCTCCAGGTCATGGAGACCGCACCACTTCTGCTAATCTAAAATCTCCTAGGCTTCCTGGATTTGGCAATAGCCGATCAAAAAGATGGGCCTTTGCCTAGGAAGCAGATCTCAGCCCTCGTCCCAACTTGGCCATCAAGTATTCCAAGAATTGGGCAAGTTATCAACCTTCTTTGAATCTCAGTTTCTTCATCTATGAAATAGGGAAAATAATCCTTGCTCTTCATGACTCAGGGCACTTGAGAGACCTAGTGAAATTTATCCATACAATATTTTCAAGCATCTATTCTGTGCCAGGCATTGTGATAGTGATAGTATAGCATTGATTAAGACATTCTCCCTGCCCTGAGGAGCTTAGTCTGGAGAGGGAATCAGCTTCAGAAACATACTGTTACTGTCCAGTGCCATCACTGCCATGCTAGAGGGGATCTTAGGGCATAATGGAGAAAACAAGCAGAGAAAAGAGGATACCTTCCTGCTCTCTCCATTCTATATGAGCTTTTAAACATGGTCTTGTATGCCCTTGGTTGTGGGACAGTCACACTCCCGTTTCCTCTGTGACTCAGAGCCCTGGATTCACAATAGGAGAGGGCGGTCCCATCCCACTCATGCCCCTTTCCAAGGCCCGTTCATTGGGACTTTCTAGACTCACAGGATTTTGCTGTCATGCAGAGAGCAGAGAGAATTGTCAGAGTAATCATTGGAGATTGCAGAAACATTTCAACTATAGCCAAACATTCTTCTACTAGCCTTCCTAGTATGGAGGCTGAGGCTCCCCGTTTCCCCAACACTAGATGCCCTTGCCTGGTTTGGAAAGTCTCCCCAGCTGGGGCAATAAGGTGTTGCTTAGGTCTCAACTGGCCATTTGGCCCCAAAAGCACAAAGTCCTGTCTTCTGTCCTGCTTCAGGCTTAACTGCCCTCTTGCCACCTCCCTGAGAGTCTGGCAGCCACAGAAATGAGGTAGCTCAGACTGTCCTCCTGTGTCGCATCCACATCCCTTGTCTGACATAACTAGCTGGAGGCTCCTCAGCCTCCTTACCTCTGCCAGTGGCTAAGGGCTGCCTCAGCCAAAGCCAGAACAGACCCACTTGCCAGGCAGGCAGGCAAGAAGCAGTGCATGGCATGCTAATATGCTCCAACTGAAATAGCATTTTTAGGATAATTCATCAGGTTGGCAGCAATTGAAACAATTAGCACTCTGGAAAGGGCCATAAACTAGCAAGACTATTAGGGAAGATGCAGTTACAGGCAGGAACCACCTGATTAGGGATGAAGAATTCTGAGTGGTTTAATTTTAATACTGTCAGAAAGGTTAATATTTAATTACAAATTATAATCTCCTTATCCAAGCTGTCTTAATATGTCTTCATACACAGTGGAAGTAGAAGGAAAGTATCTGCCAACTTACTGGTGTGGAAAGGAGAAGGGACTTGTTAAAAGATTGATGATGCATCTGTTTAGTTATAGGCTCATTCACACTTGTGCAGGGTGTCCTGAAAGGGTGAGGAGGGTATCCTTCTCCACATGCCTGGCCTAGAAGGAAGGAACACCATCGCCCCTTGGTGACAGGCTGGGTAGTCCAGGTTCTGGTGCCAGCCTTTCCTTGGCTCAGGTTCCAGTTCTGCTTTTTACTGGCTGCTTAAAGTTTCAGCTCTCTTGCTTCAAAGCTCTAAGGTTGTCATGAGGATCTGGTGAGATCATGTGAGTCACAGCTCATTCAGGTCTAGCATATTCCAGGTGCCTGCTGGTCATTTCCAGGCCAGTGGTCATTTCATTTAGTCAGCCCCTCTTTGCCCTGGGCCTGGACAGAGCACTTTCCACACCCTATTCCTCAGGTCCTGGAGGTATCAGGTACCCTTGTTAGACCTGTAGCACAGGAAGGCAGGTCTTAAACATCTGGTCATATGACCAGAAAATGTCTATGCTAAACATTCTGTTTCTGTCTCGTATTTATTCATCTCTGCGTACACTACCCTGGCAGCCTGTCTGCTGTCTTAGTTGATCTGTGAGGAGGACAGATCCTGAATTAGACCTACTTTTCAGATGAGAAAACTGAGACCCTGTAACATTAAGGATGTATCAAGGTCACTTGGTAAGGGAAGAAGGGGGCTCCTCAATGCTGTTGTTTTCAGCTACAATAACAGGTGACATTGTAAATGTGTCATTTTTTTACCCATTTCACATTGAGAAATGAGAAACTTGAGAAAACCAATATGAGCATCCACATATTTTATTTTTATTTTTTTTTAAACTATTCCATAGTGTTTATTTATTTGTTTATTTTAAAGAGTGAGAGCACAATGTTTTGTTTTGTTTTGTTTTGTTTTGTTTAAGATTTATTTATTTATTTATACAAGCACTGGGTACAGTCAGAAGCGTGGGAGGGTGAGAGAATTCACCAGAGCCAGAGCGGGGAGCAGAGCAGGTAGAAGGACCGAGGTACACTGCTGAGGGGAGCAGCGGGCGGCAGGAGAGGTCTGCGCGCCATGTGGGACCCTCACCTCGCAGCCCAGCACTCAACCGCTCCGCCACCAGGGGAGGCCCTCACATATTTTATTTTTAAATCATAACTTTTGAGCTTCTATAGAAACTCATGACCTGTGCTAACTCTGTGAGCCAACTCATTATAGAATATGTTTAGCATAGACATTTTCTGGCCATATGACCAGATAAACATCTGCCTTCCTGTACTACAATTCTAATAAGTGTACCTGACACCTCCAGGACCTGAGGAATAGGGTGTGGAAAGTGCTCTGTCCAGGCCCAGGGCAAAGTGGGGCTGACTAAATGAAATGACCACTGGCCAGGGAGTCAGTGACTTGAAACTGAATTCTGACTCTCTGATCTTTAGCTTCCTCATTGATAAAGAGTCACTAATCCCTCTGGGTCTTGCTGTCTCAAAAGGCACTGTTTGCATATTTTTATAATTTCTTTGTCAGATCTTTGAGCTTTTTTATTTTCCCATTAGTCTGTACTGTTTCTATCAAATTGAGCAGCCTTGTTAACTTCCACTAGGGTTAATCCTTGAGAAAGAATCTTCATGGCATTCTGTAATTTCATTATGAAATAATGAACCCTAAGACTTTTGGTTGGATGGCAGTATGACAAAAGAATAAAGGGTCTGAGTCCAACTGCCTAGGTTCAAATCCCAATTCTAAACTACTGTGTGGACTTGGCTGGGATCTCTGCTTACATGACTTTTCTTATCTGTAAAACAAGTTCGATAAAGGTGCCTAGCTCATTGGACTGTTATGAAGGTTAAAGGAGATGTTATAAAATGCTAAACATGGTTCTTGGCACATAGTAAGCAACCAATATATGTTGAATATTACTGTCATTATTATTGCCTCACTTTTAGATAACCTCAAACTAAGCTCATGGGAAACTAAAATTCTTCCAGCCAAGAAAACCAAGCCCATGTTCAAAGTTGCATAGAAAATCAGTAGAAGAGGGCCTCCCCGGTGGCACAGCAGTTGAGTGGGGGGTTGAGAAGCTGCCCGAAGCCTCCGTGGTGCCTGTTCAATCCCCGGCTGCTCCCCGGCCCCCGGAGGAGGGTCCCACATGACGCGCAGACCTCTCCTGCCGCCCGCTGCTCCCCTCAGCAGTGTACTTCGGTCCTTCTGCCTGCTCTGCTCCCCGCTCTGGCTCTGGTGAATTCTCTCACCCTCCCATGCTTCTGACTGTACCCAGTGCTTATATAAATAAATAAATAAATCTTAAAAAAAAAAAAATCAGTGAAAGAACTAGATTGGGAACCTGGCTCCCCTTGACACAAGGAAGCACTGGAATCTGTACTCCTGGTATCCTGGGACATTGATTGACATTTGGACACAGACCTTAGAACTCTTCAGATGAAGACTATCCAGAGCCCAGCTTTAGCTTATTGACATCAGGAAATATGAGGCAACAGAATATAGTGGCTAAGGGCACAGACTTGGAGTCAGATTGCCAAGTTTGGGTGATCTTGGGCATATTACTTTATTCTGTGACTTAGTTTTCTCATCTGTAAAGTGGGAATAATAATAGTACCTCATAGACTTGTACATGTCTAAGCCTTTGGTGGCTTGCTTAAAACATTGTCAGGCATATAGTAAGCTCTAAGTGACTGTCGGCTTTTATCATCAGCTACCCATCTCATGGCCTCCAACCCATTGCCTCCTCTGGGCAGCACTTCAGCTTCTTCATGGCCATCTTCCCACCCTCTCTGAAGTGTGTTTCTCTTGGCTGAGTTGCCTGAGGCCTCTGGAAAAGCTGGCTGGTTCCCATGTGCTCTGATAACAGTCTCACCACCACCACCCCCCATACACACATATGAACTTAACAAGTTTCCTAAGCCTGTGTCCACCTCTTAGGTTAGGCCTTTTCCTCAGGGAGAGGAGCCAATGCCCAGTGTTACATTGGAGGAAATGAGAGCTCAAGAGAGAGAGACAACATACCCAAGGCCACACAGACAGTAGCAATACTAGGACTGAAAACTGAGTCCCCTGGCTCCAGCCCTGGGCTCTTTCTGTCACCTTCTACCTCAGATGCAGGATGTTGAACTAGATGTGCATCACTGAGAGACTATCCAACCAGCAGCCAAGCTAGAATATGGCCCAAATTTCAGACATACCTACCTCAGGGACTTGGGCGCCCATGATCCTCAAATCTCAGGACAAGTGGAAAGATCCCCAGATCTCAGATGGAAATGTGTGCCAGTGCAAAAAGAGCCTGGAGAGACTGGGTGACAAGACAAGCACCTGTGAATGCCCTTATAACTCCCTAAATTCCGTAAAGGAGTGGGCACTCAGCCTGTGTTAACTGTGGGATGTGCAAACATCCCACCTGCAAAGTGGTCTCTCCCTGGAGCTAATCGTGTTCTAGCCTCACCCCAGGAGACCGCTTCCCGGAAATCACTCCTAAGGCAACCAGTAGGAAGCTTTTAGATCAAATGAAGAAATATAAATGAATTAAAGTGTTTATTATTTTAAAAGAAAACTAAACTCAAAGGGATGTGTCCCCCCATTCAGACTTGCAAAGTTGAAGGCTCAAGATACTTGTTGCCCCCCTCAGTCTCATCAGGAGTATCACCGATCAGGACTGACTTTGTTCATGTCTGCCTGGCCCACTCGATGAATAGAACCCAAGATGCATTCACCGTTGTGGCTCTAGTGCCCAGCACACACAGGATGCCCTCAGGAGATGCGGGAGGGGTGCATGGGTGAGTGATGTGGTAATCAGATCATTAGTAGCCTGCCTGAGAAAAGAGACATTCTGAGCCATATTTAGAATGGCAAGAACATGACTTGGGTTTATTAAAATAGGAGATGAGGGAACTGTAGAAGATAAGTACACTGTAAAGGAGGCAAGAAGCCAGAAAAAATACATCAGAAAAAAGATCTTGGGTTTGTGTGGTCTGAAGTAGAGGTGATGTTTGAGATGCCCTCCTCCTCAGCGCTTCTCTCTACCTTCCTACCTCCACATGGACTTGGTGCCTGCTTCCTTCCACACAGGGCTTCATCAGGCTGGACATGTCTGAGTTCCAGGAGCGTCATGAGGTAAGGGAGAGTCCTCGGTGAAACATGATTTGGAGGGCCTGTCAACATAACTCTGCTTGGATATTTTTGTGGCTTGTCATGTGGGCCTGAGGTCATTCCAGCAGCCTTGGGATTTGTCCTTGGGGGCCTAATGTGTACAGTAGGGTTACTGGTCTGTTTTGCTCTGAAGAATAAACATTAAAAAGATGTATCCACTCTCCCGTCACTGTAGGATTCCTCCATCCCAGGAAGGAGACAGCCTGACTGTCCTTATTGAGCCAGGCCATCTCAGTGTAGAAGCCATCTTCCTGTGCATGCCCCAGACCAGGAACTAAACAGCATAGAAAGGCCTCCCTAACACATATCCTTCCTTCTTTCAGGTGGCCAAGTTTATCGGGTCTCCACCAGGCTACATCGGCCACGAGGAGGGTGGCCAGCTGACCAAGAAGCTGAAGCAGTGCCCCAATGCCGTGGTGCTCTTTGATGAGGTGGACAAGGCCCATCCAGATGTACTCACCATCATGCTGCAGCTGTTTGATGAGGTTAAAATCAGCTTGGGCTGGCATGGAGGAGGGGGACTGTTAATAACAGAGGCCTGGCTGGTCATTCCGCAACTTTCTGCCCCATCTGTACATTCAGTCCCTTAGCAGATTAGCTTCACCCCCTTTCTCTCCTGGGACCCAGGCTGGTCACTTGAGGAAAGAAGAACTGAATTTTTTTTACTGCCCAGGCTGCCTTCTAGAGACAGAGTGGGGTAGAGGTGGAGAGAAAGTGAGAGATACCTCCAAGTTCCATCCTCCATCGCTAGGCATCAGTTTGGATCTCATGTGACAAAGAAAGAGACTGGATCTAAGATAAGCTCCACTAACCCTTCTGACTCAGATAGCTCCTGCCCTTCCCTATGTGTCAAAATTGTTTCCACCGGTTCTATAAAATGTTAGTAAAGTTGGTGCTGCTTATGCTGATGATGACATGGTGCTGCTCTGGCTCCCAGAGTCCCTCTCTCCTGAGGAACTCCAAGCTCATCACAAATTGAACAGCCCTCCCCACTTGTGGAGTGAGCTCTAAACCAGGAGTGCTCACTCTTTTATCTCGTATATTCTTTATACTAAGCTTGTACTGAGATTATACAGATATTATTAATCATCACAATAACCAGGCAAGGTAGAAACTCATTTTTTTTACAGATGAAGAAGTTCACACTGAGAGGTTGTAAATGACTCGTCCAAGGCCACAGAGCTGCTGTGTGGGGAACCAGGGTTGGGCCACAGATATAGCTGATCTAGTGCCCCAGTTCTCTACCACCCCTGACCTTGGGGTGGGAGGGCTTATGATCACACAAGAAGTTAGCCTCTGACTTTCTCAGGAACTTGAGGAGGCAAGGGCAGGACAAAGGATGAGGCTTCTCTTCTACCCCCATGCAGGGACTATATTAACCAGCACAGGCCAGGTAGAGTCCAACCCAACTTTCCACTAAGCATTTTCTGGGAAAACAAATAAAGTTCTGCTTCCCATGTCACTAGTGCACTTGATGAGGTACCAAGACAGGAAGGCCCAGATCTAAATGTCCCCATAGCTGCCATTGCCTTCCTCACCCGGCCCAGCATCCTTGTCCTGGCCCCAGTTTTGATATTGTTTTTCTAGCCCCTCACCTGTTCCCTATCCCCACACCTCCTATTGAAGACTAAAGGCTAGTCCTTCAAAGGTCACGTAGTTTCCTGCCCCCGTACTCTGAGACCTCTGTCCCAGCCTCTTGAGTGCACTCAGGTGCACAGCCATGGACCAGACCTAGGCCTGTCCTCCAGGTGCTCCCTGCCTAGTAGACAGGTAGAAAGGAGTTGTGACAATAGGGCCTCCCCGGTGGCGCAGCGGTTGGGCGCTGGGTTGCGAGGCTGCCCGCCGCCTCTGCGGCGCCGGTTTGATCCCCGGCTGCTCCCGGGCCACTGGAGGAGGGTCCCGCATGGCGCTCAGACCTCTCCTGCTGCCCGCTGCTCCCCTCAGCAGTGTGCTTCGGTCCTTCTGCCTGCTCTGCTCCCTGCTCTGGCTCTGGTGAATTCTCTCACCCTCCCACGCTTCTGACTGTACCCAGTGCATGTATGTATGTATCAATCAATCAATCAATCAATCAATAAAAAAATCTTTAAAAAAAAAAAAAAAAAAAAAAAAGAAAGGAGTTGTGACAATAATGCACATTTTTGCACTCTTCTAAGAAATATAGATATATCAATTCATTTAGTCCTCCCAACAACACTGTGAAGTGTTGCTGCCCCCATGTAACAGATGTGCGCACTGAAATAAAGTGAGGTAACTGATTTGCCTAGATTCAAACACAGGCAGTCCGATTCCAGAGTCTGCAGCTTAAATAATAACTACCATGCAGCTAGGATCAAGAGAGACAGGTAGATAGGTGCCTGGGATTGCATCCTAGGCCCAGAAGGAGTGACAACTGCCGGCTAAAACACAGTCAGCCCCACCTGGAAGATGCTCACCCACCAAGTGTAGCCCTACCCACACCTCCCCTGCTGCCGTCACCCCACTGGCTACTTTTTGGGAGTTGATTATTCCTCCTGCAACCCCCACCAGCAAACAAGAGTTTCTGGCATTTGTGCCCTCAGTCCTATTGACCAAAGTTGCCATCCAAGTTTATGCATCGATATGCTCTAGGAAGACAGGGACCTGGTCTCACTCCAGCTGTTCCCAGAGTCCCATCACAGGGGAAAGGCTCTGTTGACTAACTTAATTAAGCAGTAACTCAGCAAACCTTCCAACGATGAATAGTGTTTGGCAGATAGACAGAGTGGAGAAGGGCCAGACAGACGCCTAGTCTGCAGAAGCATGGGGCCTGAGACAGCCTGGTCTCTGCATCTGTCTGGGACTACTGCACTGCAGAGGACAGTGGGGTAAAGTAGTGGCAACAAGGTGGGTAAGGCCGGGGGGCGGGGGGCAGTTACAATGTGAAGAAGTATGGATTTACTTGGTAGATCCTAAAGAAACTCTAAGACTGTAAGCAAGAGGGAAATGTGATGAGGGTTCACCTTATAAAGAGCCTAAAGGTAGTGGGGAGAGAAGGGGAACCAATGATGTTCCTGCTAAAGCAAGGGCCATGGGATGGGGAGAGCTTCCAGAAAGTGAACTTGCAGGACTTTGTGTTGGATGGGAGAGAGAGAGGACTCAAGGATGACCAGTGGTGGGATTTCTGGCCCAGGGGACAGGATTGCTGTTGTTGCCTCCCACGCAGGCAGAGTGCAGGAGAATGAGCAACAGATGGGTGAGGAAGATGAGGAGCTAAGGTTGGAATTGTTGTGAGATGCCTGAGGCACAGCCAGATATTCATGGGGCCATTGCTCAGCAGTAGAGGCCTGGGGCTTAGGAGAGTTCTGGACAGGAAGTACAGATTAAGGACTGCTTCAGCACAGAGAGGGGAACGGAGGCCACACAAAGGGATGCAACCTCTTAATTAGGGAGAGAAAAGAGGGTCAAAGGGGGGTGCAATTGTATGGAGAATATAACCAAAATGAAAATGCGTATACATTGTGCAAAAATGAAAAATGATGTAAGAATTATATAAAAAAATATTTAAAATTAAAAAAAAAAAAAGAACCTGGGACCTACCTGGAAAGAGTCAAAGAGGGATATCCCAAAGAGGTAGGAGGCAAATCAAATCTGTGTATTCATGTGATTCTCTGTGAGGCAGAAAGGATGCAGACAGACAGACAGACAGTCACTAGGCCTGCCTCTGTGTTCATGAATGAGTGGGGAGTGAGTGTGTGCTGGTGAGTGCTGTGCTGGGCTGAGGAGCCAGTACCAAGAGGTGTAAGAGCAGCTAATCCAGTCGAGAGGCTTGAGGGAAGCCACCCCCATTCCCACCCAGGATGTACCCCAAGCCTAGATGCAGAAAGGTAGGAGTCTTTATGCAGGACTACTGCAGGTAGTGCCCAGGGAGCCTGACCTCTGCTCCCTATGACGATTCATACAAGAAACTACAGGCGAGTAGCCCTATAACCCTGGGGGGAGCATTTGCATTCCACTCAGTGGCAGGTGGGTCGGTGACAGCTCCTTCTTTGGGCCACATCTTTATTACCAAGGGCTCTGAGGAAGGAGGCATGAGCACCGTGGAAGTCACCCTTTGGGTCAGTCATGCGCTGCACCTGCTCCCCTCGCCCACCTGGGACCCATCTGCAGCCCGGTTATGAGCGCAGCTTTGATCTCTCAGAATGAAATTGCTGCCAGGTTATTGCTCTGGCCAGTGCAGCAGTGTGTGAACTCAGTCCTCAGGGTGAGCTCTGTGAGGTGAGTGGGGAGCACACAGTGTCATAATCATGTGCTTGGGCACATCACACACACACTCAGGCTTGGTCCCAAACTAAAATTGCGCTGAGTAGATCCTCTGGTGGTGGCATCCATAGGCAGGGGGTGAAGCAGAAAGCTAATGGCAAAAGCTCAAGAACACCCACCCATCGCACCTTTGCCTTTTCCCCAGGACAGGAATTAGGAGAGTGACCAGGACCTAGATCTCCATGCCCCCTTTGGACCACTCTCTGGGAGGCCTCTGCCAAGAACCAGTGGAAAGTGAGGCTGTAAATCACTTGGTACTGTGTCCAGCACACAAGTGCTCAGTTAATGCATAGTCCTTCCCCCTTTGGCTCTGAGAGCCAGTGCTGGTCTGCCATTGCATTGACTTTGGAAGCAAGTGCTGACCCTGAAGAGGTTGGTTACGGCTGGGGCAGGACCCAGCATCGCTGCTCAGGCAGGAGCCAACAGGCTGAGGCCAGTGACCTATCCCCAGGGCTATATTGTCCAGCCTGCAGAAGCCATGCTTTGTCTGCAACCCAGGTAGCGCTCTCTCTTCCCACTCCCCCAGTTGCTTCTCTCCAGTGAGGATCAAAGGAGGCAAACTGAATTTTACAGAAGCCTAAAAACTATTTAGGGAAAGAAACTTACACAAGGCCTCATTTATCCAGCTATGATGGTCTCACCTCAGTAGCCTCATACAGAGGGAAGGCCATGGATTCTGGAATTACACATATACTTCCACTCTCACTTCTATTTTCTAGCTGTGAATGAGTGACTGAACATTTCTGAGGCAGTGTCCTGATAGGGTTGTGAGGATTCAGGCAAGTGCCAGCACTTAGGGGGTGAGGCACAGCCATGCATGGAGAGCACTGAGGAGGCCACTGTGGTGGAGGTGGGGGTGCCCATCAGGTTCCACTGCTGTGACTCCATCAATTTCTCTCAGTGAGTCTCTAGCTTGTGTTATGAAAAACTGTAAGGTACACTTATGCGGTGATATATTGGAGGTTGGTTGCGTGGATGGAGCACCTTGCCCTTGAACTGAATGGCCAAAAACAGCTATACTTTTCTCATTCTTCCATCGCCTCTCTCTGCTGTTGCTTCTGTCCTCTTCCCTTGGTGCATCTCCAGTATAGATAGATGTTTGCTTTTTCGTGTCTAGAAAGAGCTGAGGATTCCAAAGAAAAGCCCCCCAGGTGGCTAAAAGAAGAACCTTAATTTCTATCCCTCTCTGTCAGTCCAGAGAATGGCCCCAAAGAAGCAGACATTATACTTGTTTCAATTCATTTCACTCTTTTTTTTTTTTAAAGAGAAGATTCATGCTCATTTGGATATTTTTCCCTTTTCTCTCTTCCCAGTTGGGATGATGAGTTATTTTTTTAAAGATTTATTTATGCATACAAGAACTGGAGTGTAGACCAGAGGTGCAGGACAAACAGGATTCATCAGAGAGAGGGGAGCAGAACAGGTGGATCTACTGGAATACACTGTTGAGGGGAGCAGTGGGCAAGTTAGGAGAGGTCTGCTGCGCCATGTGGGTAGCTCCCTGGCTGGGGATCGAACTCGTGCTATAGTGGCTATGGATAGTATCATAGGTTGTGTCTTAACACCTTGCGCCACCAGGGAGGCCCTCATTTTGCTCATTTTGATTATTTGTATGTATATAAAATAAGGATCTGCTACACTAATAACAGTTGTAATACCACAGCATGGTGCAGTAAGGGACTTTCATCAGTATCACCATGTCCCCACAGTGGCTGGCTGTTGAATACCCTTCTCTGAACTCCTGTGCAACCTGGGCCTCCCTTTACCCCAACACTTAACCCAGTGAATTGTCACTTGGCATTGCTTCTTTCCTGGATGTTGTTCCTCTAAAGTGGGAGCATAATCGAAGGCTCAGTGAGTTCCTAGTTAACCCAACACAGAGCCTCGTCCAGAGAGAGCCACCAAGAAAGTGTGTTGAGTGGATGCATGTGTTAACTCAGGCTGATTTCTGAGCTCCGGAGGTGATTGACTACCCTGAGGGATGCCAACAGGTGGGTGCAGTCTGGCCTGGAGGTGCTTTCAGTGGGTGCAGCAGCTGCTGCCCAAGCCTGGGGGATACACAGGGGTTCTGGACAAACTTCCCAGAAAAACTGCCCAGTCTTATGCTCCCTGACCGTGTCATCTCTGCTCCTTCCAGGGCCGGCTCACAGATGGCAAAGGGAAGACCATTGACTGCAAGGATGCCATCTTCATCATGACCTCTAATGTGGCCAGTGATGAGATCGCACAACATGCCCTGCAGCTGAGGCAGGAAGCTCTGGAGATGAGCCATAACCGTATCGCCGAGAACCTTGGTAGGGTACAGGGCCTGAGTTGTCTGGGCAACTGGGCAGGTAACCAGGCCACAAGCACATCTTCTGGGGGCAAGAATGGTATTGGGGTCCAAGGTCCAGGTGAGAGTCCTGGTTGGCAGTTTTGTCCCTGGTAGGCACTGCCCAGACACCAAACTTGTACCAGATAATAGAGACAGATTCAGGCCTCCCTGGTGGCGCAGGGGGTTGAGCACAGCACTGTGAGGCTGTCCGTGGCCTTTGCAGCATGAGTTCGATACCCGGCTGGCTAGGGAGCAACCCACATGGCACAGCAGACCTCTCCTGTCTCGCCTACTCCTTCCCTCACTAGTGTATTTTGGTACATCTGCCTGTTCTGCTGCCCGCTCTCTCTGGTGAATTTTCTCACCCACCGCAACTCTGGCCCGTACCCCAGTTCTTTAAAAGAAAAAAAGTTAAATAGAGACAGATTTCCTCAAGAAAGCCCCAGGTCTCTTGGGTGACAGGAAAGCTCCCGATAGAAGAATGGACAGAGACATCCAAGGAGAGGCCAGGGCTTTAGGGACTGAGGAGACATACACTCAGCAGATAATGACATTTGAGTACGATGAAGGGATGTCAGATCAGAAACTACAGAGATGGATAACCCCTTTTTTATCCAGAAGATTCCTGTGTCGGTGGGCCCTGGAAAGGAGCGCATTGGGGCAGCTCTCCTGCCCACCTGTGACTATGCAGGTGCTTCTCTTCACCGTCTCCCCTTGCAAAGCAACAGAGTTAGCTTTTCTCCCAAGGCTACCCACCTGTGACTATGTAGGCCTCTCTTAACAAACCTGTCCCTTCCCAGGACAGCTCTTTCTGCCTGCCTGTGTCTGTGCAAGCATCCTTTAGCATCCTTTACTTCCCTTCCCTTTTTACAATAAACCTGCCCTTTGAGCTTTTTTTTTTTTTTAAAGGAGGAGCATATCAGACAGGAGGCCATTTCTTACCTTTCTATTTAGGACTGAGCCCTCTAGGCCTCTTCTTCCAAATCAGAAATTGTCTTGATCCTCTCTCTTCTTCTCCCCACTCCCCTCCTTCATATCTAAGGAACTCCAGGCTTTGTGGCACATGAGGTCTGGAAGGGCCTCAGAAAGTACCAAGGCCCAGGGAGCCTGGGACCTTGACCAGGATCACACAGACCATCAGGAACAAGACCAGGGCTCTTCATGGATGGGGCTAAGGGACAGCACAGCTCCTAAAGGTCCTTAGGTGTAGGGAGTAGGCAGTTTATGATTATCTTTCCACAGGTGATGTCCAGATGAATGACAAGATCACCATCTCAAAGAACTTCAAGGAGAATGTGATTCGTCCCATCCTAAAAGTAAGAGGCCTTTGTCCTTCTGCTACTGTCTCTGGTGGGGAGAGTGGGGAGATCCTCTTTGCCATCCTAAAGATATAGAATTCTCCCCATCTTCCCCACTGGGGTCCAATAATTCCTTCTACTCCCTCTGAGTCACTGAGCACTTTTAATCTGACCCTGCAGGCCCACTTCCGGAGGGATGAGTTTCTGGGACGAATCAATGAGATTGTCTACTTCCTCCCCTTCTGCCACTCAGAACTCATCCAGCTAGTCAACAAGGAACTGAACTTCTGGGCCAAGAGAGTAAGAATGAGGGCTACCCATGATGGGGACAGGACCTCTGCCCACTGGAAATCAGGGTACACTGGGCTGGGAGCACCCCCTCTCCAAAATGGGTCATAAAGTGGAGTAGGGTCAAGAGCTCTGGGGGCATTGGTCTCACACGGGCCCAGGCCTCAGGCAAGAGTGATGGAAAGCACAGGGCCACATGCAGGCACTCTCTCTCCTGTCTCAGGCCAAGCAGAGGCACAACATCACACTGCTCTGGGACCGCGAAGTGGCAGATGTGTTGGTCGACGGCTACAATGTGCACTATGGCGCCCGCTCCATCAAGCATGAGGTGAGTGCAGGGGCCACACCTCCCTCCCTGGTGCCCCAAGACCCAATCCCTTTCTCCCAGCCTTTCTCCCTAGATTTTGGCTGCTGGGATTATCCATATTGCAGAGCAGATGCCCCTTGAAAACCCAAAACAGTGTGAGCAAGTAAAACCCCTGTCCTGGAGACAACTGAATATGAGCCCCTACCAGGATGGGAAACTGAGTTAGGAGTCTCAGGCTCTGACATCACTGAATCTTGAGCACAGTCCTGCAAGCTGTGTGTTGTTAGTTGCACACTGCAGGTAAGAAAGCAAGCTCAGAGGTTTCTGTCTTGTCCAAGTAGTAAGTGACAGAGTCTGGCCTCTGGGCTCAGGCCCAGGCTGGCCTGTGTAGCAGCAGAGACGGCCACTGCCCCTGCACTTGCAGGTAGAGCGCCGCGTGGTGAACCAGCTGGCCGCCGCCTACGAACAGGACCTGCTGCCAGGGGGCTGCACTCTGCGCATCACCGTAGAGGACTCAGACAAGCAGTTACTCAAGAACCCTGAGCTGCCCTCACCCCAAGCTGAGAAACGCCCTCCCAAACTGAGGCTGGAGATCATTGATAAAGACAGCAAGACCCACAAACTGGACATCCGAGCGCCACTACACCCTGAAAAGGTGTGATTCACCCTCTACCTTCTACTACCTGCCTGTCCGTGCCCTCAGCACCCAATAAAGGCCCCCCGGCTGTGGCATGGCAACTGACCTACCTGCCCTCCTGCCTCTCCCTCCTCTCCAGCAGGCCTAAAGCCGCTTGCCTCCTCACAGCCCCCTAAAAAACCCTCCTCAACCCCAGAGTCTAAAGCAGGAATTTTGCTCTCCCCCAGCCCCTCATTGTGGGCCCAAAACCTGCTGATAAGCCTCAGAAGAAGGGCTACCCTTCCACTCCATCCAGGCAGTGAGGAGTCGGGGGGAGGGGGGGTTCCTTATTTTTGTCCTCCAGGATGATCCCCATCCCCCCCATAGTCTCTGGAACTTTAGCGTGTTCCTAGAAAGCTCAGATGTATAGCAGCTAAGAGCAACTGGCAGTAAGACAGGGACCAGGCCGTGCCCTCATGCAACTGAGTCCCCAGAGTGTCTCCACTGGAATGGAGAGATTGCAGAGGTCCCAGCACGGAGCTGTTGTTCAGGCTGTAGCTACCTCTTTCCCCTGCCCTAGAATTACAAGGGGAAGGCGCCCCTAGAACCCTCCCCCTTCCACTGCCATATCATAACTGCTGTTCCTCCTCACCCTGTATTCTGGGGTCAAGGCCAGATCATGTTTCTTCCCGCTTGGGACTCAGGCAACATGAAGAAATGCTGCCTGCTGCACTACCCTGCCCAAATCTGGGCTGGACAAAAGTAACCAAAAGACAAAGCAAGCTCCACTCGACAGGGGCCTCCTTTAGGAGCCTTAACAACACAGACATTGGGGAGCTCTCGGGGAGAGATCATGGGGTCAGGCTCTGCCCAGGTGGCCTTGGAGTCTCCTTACTCATGCTGCTGGCCCAGCTGAGGAACCCGCAGCAAGTCGCTCCCAGTAAGTCTGCATGTTAGTCGCTGAGCACAGGGTCTGCACACTATCCAGCCAGGGCATTCCAGAGACCCCATGCTTCACCCTCAGCTTAGCAGAACTCAGCCAGGCATGGTGCATGCTGGGCATCATCCACCATGGCTGCCATTGATGACCACCACACCACCCTCCCCATAAGGGCTGATTCAGAACCTGGATTTGGTGTTAGGTAAAGTTCTTTCAGGAAGCAGGAAGTAGGAGGAGTAGGTATCAGAGTCCCTTGGGTGATAGAGGAATGCCCTAACAAAATGTGGGTATGAGACAGGCAGAAGCTGGAACGAGGCTCCATCAATCGCCTCTAGTCCCTCAAGGAGCTGTGTCTGCTGCTCCCTACCTCAGTAACTGTTGCTTCTTTTATTTTTTTCCTTCTTGTTTTGAAATAATTTGATTTGCAGAAAGTTTCAGAGTTCCCATTTACTCTTCCTGGCTTCTCTTAATATTAGTATCTTATAAAATTGTTGTATAGCTATTAAAATAAGGAAATTAACTTTGATCCACTATTACAAATTTGTCTATAGACTTCCAAAATTTGACAGTCTTCCCCCTGATGTTCTTTCTCTGGTCCAAGAGCCCACAATGTATTTTGTTTTGTTTCCCTCATCTCCTTCACCTGTGACAGCTCTTTTTTGTCTGCCTTTCATGACCTGGATACTTTAGAAATGTCGAAGGTGATTATTTTGTAGAATGCCCATAACTTGGGTCTTTGGGTCTGTCTGCTGTTCTCATATGTTTAGACTGAGGGTCTAGACCACCACACAAATGATGCTGTGCCTTCTCAGTGCCTCAGAACGGGGAGTGTTAACTGATCACTCGATGGAGGTGATGTGACCCGGTTTCTCCATTGTAAAATGACTAATTTCCCCTTTGTTATTATAATAAGATTCATGTGGGGAGGTCCCTTAAGCTATGCAGATGTCTTATTTATCCTTAGACTGTGCCCACTGATCTTAGTGCTGATCAGTGGTTCTTGCTTACACTAAGCTTTAATGTTGTGTTTGTCTGATGATGACTTTCTCTTTTCTCCGTCCATCTATATTAATTGGTGTTCTGCTGTGAGGAACAACTGTCTCTTTTTCCCATTTATTTATTCAATAATTTATATCAGGATAAGTTAATGGATATTTGTTTTATTCTAGGGGTTACAGTCTCATACTAACATAGTTAATTTTGTTACTCAAATTGGCCTAGATCTGGCCACTGGGAACTCTTTCAAGTTGGCTCCTGTGTTGTTTCAACATCACCCACATCGTTGTTTTTTTTAAGCACTCCCTGACTTTTTGGTACCACAAGCTATTCCAAGCTCATTCATATTTTTCCTGTTCTAGCCCTGACACCAGCCATTTCTCCTAGCAGCTCCTGGTTCCTTTTATTCAGGAATAGTGCTTAGAAACCAAGATCTAGAAACTGGTTGTATTCAAGGCTTCTGGAGTGACATTACCCTTTCAGCAGGCAGCGCTAGAAAATAAATGTATGTATGCTAACATGTGTATCACACATATCTGAATTTATCATTGTATCTGTCAATATATTACTAAAAAACATGAGTTGATGTTGTTACTTATAGTTTCAACCTAGTATCACAGGGTTTGTGACTTTATTATTATGACTCTACTATTATTTTTTTTTTGCTTCTTCCTCTCTTATTATCCCTGTGTTCTCTTTTCCTCTGTTTGGTGTGAAGCCTTCCCTGGAGGGGAAGTCAGTGACCATCCTATAGGGAAGATTCCTATTGGATAAAGTTCTTATGCCTAGGTCAGTCCCTTGGTTCAGTCAGCTATAGCCAGGAGCATAAATCTAAACCAAGTAACTTTTATACAAGAAAACCCTTGACCACCTTCTTGAGATGAGGGAGGGAGGAGATAGGATAGACCCTCAGATTCTGAGGGACCTAAGTGCCATTTCTGGGGATTCTTTGGTAGGCCTCCTAGGGGACACTAGACCCATATTTTACACTTCTGTGGCTTCCTAGCCAATACTCCGCTCGCTTAACTTGTTCTGTAACTTGTCACTAGAATGTAAGCTCCAAGGGGGCAGATACACAATTGTTCAGCTCACTGTTCAGTTCCTAGTGCCAGCTCATGATGGATGCTCCAGGTATTTGGATGGGTGGGTAGGCCCTAAATCAAACACAGATCTTCACCACACACCCCAGGGCAGAACAATACCACTTGTTCACTCAGCACACATTTATTTGTCACATGCTTGTGGCCAGACAGTAGGACCTGCCAGGATTAGACCCTGAGCAAATGGGGCAAAATAAGATCCAGATACCTGTTGAGTAGCCTAGAAGGCATGAGGCTGGACTTGTTAATGAAATACGACACCTTTATTACTCAAAAGGAAAGACTCAAAATGCGTAGTGATTGTTTGAGAAATAGAGAAAAAAGTATATTAAACCATTAGGAAGTGAACCAATGAAGTTAAAACCTGAAGTTAACCAGTAGGAAACCAGAAAAAAGAAAAGGTAAGTAGGAAAATGATTCTTTGAAAGCACCAATAAAATAGATAAAAACCTTCTCAGTCTGATAAAAAGAAAGAATGAAAGATTAGGAATGAGAAATCAGGCATCACCATCTATAAGGAAGAATATAATATAAAATAAAATAATTTTAAGAGAACACAAAACTGAAAACAGTGCAAATAGATAATTTCCTATAATCTGAATAGACCAACTAATTACCAGAGAAGAAATTGGAAAAGTGATTAAAAATTTATCCTTTTTAAAGCTTGTGTTAATTTTTTATTGAAATATATAAGGAAAGAAAGGTGCACAAATTGCAAGTATTCCACTCAGTGAATTATCACAAAATGAATACTACTGTAGCCATCACCCAGCACGAAAAAATAAGTGGGTTGTAATTTTTAGTTGTTAAATCAATGACTTCAGACAATGGGAGAGGATGAAAAGATGCCCAATTGATTTTTAAGATGACTACAAACCGAATAAAGTGCCTAAAGGAATATGATAGTATAATCTCACTTATTACTATAGATGCTAAAGTTCCAAATAAAATCAAGCTGAATTCTACACCATGATCACAAAAGGTTTATTTCACCAATCCAAGCCTGAGTATCAGGAAACTTTAGTATAATCCACTACACCAAGAACTTGAATATTATTTAAATACCTATAGATTAATATAATGTTGGTTTTCTTTTTTGATAATATTTCTTTTATGACTATGTAAGAATATCCTTGTTTTTAGAAAATATACCTTGAAGTATTTAGAGATTAGGGTAAAGACAATTTGTAAATGCTTTAGAAAAACTTAAGTTATGTATATGTATGCTTACATCTTATACACACACACAATGATAAAGTATTAATATTTGGGAAATCTGAGTAAGGATATACAGAATTTCTTTGTATATTATTTCAAAATAGTTATTTTCAATAAAATATTCAAAATGTTTTTTCAATGTAAGGAAATAAAATTTTATTAGCATATGCTAAAAATGCATTTGATAATTTTACAGCTTTAATAAAATATGACTTGATAAAGGTAAATCTCTAAGTAAAAGAAAAGGAAACTATTCATCCAAAAACATATAGCAAAGATCATTTTTTTTGGCAAAGATCATTTTTTAATTTAAATTTTATTTTTATATTCCCCATACAATTATAACCCCCTTATTTTTACCCCAATCCCTTCTTTCCTCGCCCCCCCACCCCCATACAGTGTCTCTTGTTCATAGTTGTTTGTTGATTTTGATATTTTCTTTCTTATAGTTATTCTTTTTCCTGGTCCCTTATTTAAGTTTTCTAGATTCCTGCTATGAGTGAGACCATCCGGTATTTTTCTTTTTCTTTCTGGCTTATTTCGCTGAGCATGATCCCTTCCAGCGCCATCCATGTTGCTGCAAATTGCATGTGTTTATCTTTTTCGAATGCTGAGTAATATTCCATGGTGTATATGTACCACATCTTCTTGATCCAGTCATCTATTTTTGGGCATTTGGGTTGTTTCCAAAGCTTCGTTATTGTAAACAGTGCTGCTATAAACATAGGGGTGCAGGTGTTCTTTGGAATTGATGCTTCTGTGTCCTTTGGGTAAATACCTAGGAGTGGAATTGCTGGATCATATGGAAGCTCTATGTTTAGTAGGTCAAGAAATCTCCACACAGCTCTCCATAGTGGTTGGACCAGTTTGCACTCCCACCAACAGTGCAGGAGAGTTCCTTTTTCTCCACAACCTCGCCAACAACTGTTGCTAGTTTTTTTAATATGTGCCATTCTCACTGGTGTAAGATGGTATCTCATGGTGGTTTTGATTTGCATTTCCCTGATTACAAGTAATGTTGAACATTTTTTCATATGTCTGTTGGCCATTCACATTTCCTCTTCAGAGAAATTTCTTTTTAGCTCTTCTGCCCATTTTTTGACTGGATTATTTTCTTTGTTTTTGTTGAGTCTCATCAGCTCTTTGTAGATTTTTGTGATCAGTCCTTTATCATTTGTGTTGTGTGCAAAAATTTTCTCCCAGTCGGTGGGGTTTCTCTTTGTTTTCGTTATTGTCTCTTTTGCTGTGCAGAAGCTCTTTAATTTGATGTAGTCCCAGCTATTGATCTTTACCTTCACTATCACTGCTTTGGGTGATGTGTCTGTAAAGATGTCTTTGATGTGCATATCACGTAGTGTTTCGCCTATATTTCCTTCTATGTATTTTATGGTTTCAGATCTTGTGTCTAGTTCTTTAATACATTTTGAGTTGGTTTTTGTGCATGGTGTTAGGTAGTAGTCAAGCTTCATTCTTTTGCATGTAGCGACCCAGTTTTCCCAGCACCATTTATTGAACGAACTTTCTTTGCTCCAATGCATATTCTTTGCTCCTTTGTCAAAGATTAGTTGACCATAAATCTGTGGGTTTATTTCTGGATTTTCTATTCGATTCCATTGGTCTGTGTGTCTGTTCTTGTTCCAATACAATGCAGTTTTGATGATTATGGCTTTGTAGTAAAGTTTCAAGTCTGGGAGTGTGATGCTTCCATTCCCTTCTTTTTTTTTCAGGAGAGCACAAAGATCATTTTTAACTGTAAATTCCAAAATCATTTCTATTGAAGTCTGAAGTAAAACAAGATTCAGCAGGGCTTTGAAATTTCAGATAAAAGTAATTAGGCAAGGAAATGAAATAATTGGTGTAAATACTGTAAAATAATAAATTGTGTTTTGCTGTTAAATGTGTATTTAGGAAGTCCAAAAGGCTATATAGTAGCCTTTTAGCATTAATAAGGAAATATAATGTGTCTGAATAAAAGATAAGTGTACAAAAATCAATAGCTTTCTTCTAGAAATAATCAACTAGAAACAATAATATTCCATTCACAATTGCAACAGGTAAGTGTGTATCTGGTCACATACACCTATATACCTCTGGAGGAGAAGGGAATTGGATAGAGCAGGGACAGCAATATTTTTAAACTTTTAGATTTTGAACCATGTTAATGTGTTCAAAATTATATAAGATACTCAAGAATAAATAGAGCAAGAAAAGAATATCACTAAAGGGCATAAAACAAGATCTCACAAATGAAAAGCTGTACCAGGTCCTTGGAAATAACGAGTTGGTATTAATATTCTTAAAATGTCAGTTCTTGAATTAATATATAATTCAATGCAAACCTAGTTAGACTGGACGGCACTTTGAATTAAATAACATTAAAGTCACGTATTATTATGTCCAGAGGTGATGCCATGTGGGCTACTGTTTCCTTGGACCTGGGCTCTCAGGAGCTAGAATACTACTGCTGTCCGTAACTACAGGCCCCTCTCAAGAGAACAAGTAAATATAACTACCATCAACACACACCCAAAATACAAGTATGAAATAAAGAGAAGAGTTATTGTCTGTGACTGTAGTGTGGAGGCTGAACGTGGGTGTGGAGAAGAGAATGTGGCGAATAATCAACCTAGAGAAGCAGGTTCCCATTTCAAGGTACTTTCAGTGCCGTCTTCAGGAAGTGAAATGACTGTTTCTCGGGTTTTTTGAGATGCTCTAACTGCATTATGTAAAATGATTGGGGATGACTTCTGATCTTATGTTACCAAAAAAAAAAAAAAAAGAAGAAGAAGAAAAAGTTTAACAACCAAGCTTGAAACTAACCCCAAAGAGCTAGAAATGAATGGAACGCAAGCATCAGACATGTTGAGAGCGGAGGCCAACAAGTGCAGAGAGACTAAGGACCAATATGTAGGCCCAGTGACTTGAGCACTAAGGATTTCACACTGAGGCAAGAATTTCAGAGGATCGCTTCCCCATGAAATGAAGTCTAGAAGAAACTGCTCTTGACTTGGGAATCAGTAGGAAAATATAAGAAAGTCCACCATCACCCAGAGATGTAAATAGAGTCACCTACAAAGAAATTCATGTCCTGTAGTTGGTGAGCTTGTGGTCCAAATTCAGTGTTACTAAGATGCCAAGATGAAGAGCTAACAAAATGCTGCACCTTGGCCAGTGAAGACTATCGGTTCCCATAGAAGCACACACAAAACTGTCCTGTGAGGATATTCTCATCATCAAGTATTCACAAAGGAACCTGCAAGAGGGGAAGTCCTGCTGAAATTGAGCTTACAGGCAACACTTCCCAAAAAGGGAAAAAATAAACCCACCATGAAAGAACAGAAAGACTCAGTGAATCACAGGATTTGCACTCCACACATTGTAAGAAATGAATATAAATTTCAAAGAAGAATGTTTAAAATGTTACGAGAAATAAAGGGAAACAAAACCACAAGACAAAGAATGGGTGAATTTGAGGAAGAATTTATTTCTGTGTTTTTTTATATTTCAGCAGTTTCCACAGCTCTTTTGCCCGCCTGTGTCTATGCAGATGTTTCTTAACCCTGTGCCTTTCAAAAATGCAGTTCTGTTGTTTTTTTTTTAAGATTTATTTACTTATGCATACAAGAACTGGGGTGCAAGCCAGAAGTGCAGGGGGTGGTGAGAGGATTGACCAGAGACAGAGTGGGGCGCACAACAGGCAGATTGACAGAAATACACTGCTGAGGGGAGCAGCGGGTGAGGCAGAAGAGGTCTGCTGCACCATGTGGGTAGCTTCCTGGCTAGCCGGGATATCGAACTCATGCTGCAGTACAACTCAGCCACTGCAACATGAGTTCGATCCCCAGCTAGGGAGCTACCCACATGGTGCAGCAGACCTCTCCTGTTTTGCTTGCTACTCCCCTTAGCAGTGTATTTCAGTCGGTCTGCCTGTTGTACTCCCCACTCTGTCTCTAGTCAATCCTTTCACCACCCCGCACCTCTGGCCTGTACCCCAGTTCTTGTATGCATAAATAAATAAATCTTTTAAAAAAATAGACATTGCCTTACTCTGTCTCCTAAGATACTGCTTCCTCTGTGGCCCTCTTAGGTGGGAGCTGCTTTTATTGTCAGGCACAGTGTGCTAACATGGTAGCAAACTTTCAACACTGCTCCCTAGGTACATCTGAATAGTTTATTAGTCTTAATGTGACAGCCTGACTAAAACCGGGCCAATCAGACTCTCCGCTCCTCCAGAAAACTTTAAACCAGAACTGGAAAGAGCGCCAAGGCTGTCTTTAGGGTACCTAAGATGTACTGCTCTGGAGCTGCACATAGCCAGGTTATCGGCTCCGAGGGCCAGCAGAGTGGAGGAAACTGATCTGCTGGCAGGATAAAGTGCAGAGAGAGCACTGCTGAAAGTCAGAGTTCTCATGGAGTCTGGGTCTGCAGTCCCAGCTTTTTCTAAAGCCCACCTACCCTTACAGCCTCCAAAACCACAGTGTATCCCTAAAGCCAACTTTTCTTTTTTCCATTAGCTGGAGTTTCCCTCCAAATGGAATTTCTGTTTCTTGCAACCAGAGACTCCCAATGATTTTGCCCACTTCCTCTCTGAGTATTTCACCTGAAACCCTACAACTGTATATGCAGCCATCTGCCATTTATAGGTGGAATCGCTTTAAGAAAGTTTGATGTATTAAAATACATGTGTACATGCCTGAAAAATGAAATAATTGGGTAATATTTCATTATCCTGAAATAATTGTTTGCTCTACAAAAAAAATTACTAGAGAATCAAATATAGCTTTCCCAGGGCTCTAGAAATAGTTCAGAACCAGTTTATTCTTCACAACAAATTATGATGCATGACACAATGGAATACTAAGCAGCTAATAAGAGAGAACAAGATGAATCTGCATGTGCCAATAGTGAGATATCTCCAAGAATATTATGGGGAAAATCTGGTCTATATACTGAATATATCCATCCCCCTTCATGTACATGTACTTGCACGCGTACATACTTAGAATTTCTTTTTTTCATTCGAAAATCAAGAAAATGTGCCGAATGGCTACATTTTGAAAG